ATATATATATATATGAAACAGCTTCATCCATATACAGAAGTTACATTCTTACATGTGTTAGGTTAGAAATACCCAAAAGGAAACATATTGAGTCCAGAATATTGGACTTTCCGCTGCCGTTCAGTCCGGTGATGGCATTAAACAGCGGGTCGAAGCCATTGATTTCCGTCCTCTGTGCGTATGATTTAAACCCTTCAATGATAATAGACTTGATGTGCATCTTTCTGCTTTCTCTCCGAGACGTCCGGAGGCAAGTCTTGTAAAAGCGACGAAACTTAAAGTCAAACTTGTGACAGACGACTTAGAGCCCAGTGTTTACAGCCGACGACACTTGAATTTTGGCGGCACCCGGGCCTGAAGACCCCGACAGGGCCCTCATTTTACAAGCCGGAGTCTAAGCGACATGAAATGTTTATATAACTTAATGAGATATAAATAGAAATGTAGCTTATTACATACCTTGTAGTTATTACTTGTTTTTGTTGTCATGATAAAATTTTAATCATAGCTTTTATTAAATATTTAGCGCAACATGTGTTTAGTTCTATCAGGCACTTTTTAGGACTTCTAAATGTCTCTGCGTAGCGCCACCTGTCGGCCATTAAAGCCGAAAATACCAAAATAAACCTAAAAGCTGCCACAACTAGATCATTATGGTCACTGTGGTAATCATGTTTTATTTCTGAGCAGTACTCCTAATAAGGCAGACAGACTAAAATGCAGACCAGAAATGAAGCCTCACAGTCTGCAAGATGCTGTATTGGAAAAATAATAATAAACAAAGCATAAACAAGTCTGGTGATCACACATGTTGTTTTATATTTGTAGTGTTTTATCAGATGAAGAACTTAATTCGTCAAATATGTTACACATACAAGAAATTTGACTTTAAAAAAAACTTTACAGATCTCAGACCAGCACTTCTCCATCTTCAAAGGTCATAAATTAATTGAACTGTACTTGAGCTGATTGAAAACCAGATTAATTAAAAACAAATTATTTTTTTCTACTTTAAACTCGTTTGTTTGTTTGTTTGTTTGTTTGTTTGTTTGTTTGTTTGTTTGTTTGTTTGTTTGTTTGTTTGTTTGTTTGTTTGTTTGTTTTTCCCTCCAGA